GGGAGAGGGAGAAGCAGGCTCCCCGCAGAGCAGGGAGCCCGATGCGGGGCTCGATCCCAGGACCCTGGGACCATGACCTGAGCCGAAGGCAGACGCTTAACGACTGAGCCACTCAGGCGCCCGTTTTTTTTTTTTTAATCAGAGCAGAAAGCAGACGCTTAACTGAGCCACCCAGGCACCCCCAAATAAATAAAATCTTAAAAAAAGAATAGGTGCCCTACACATGAATTGCACAAGACATGAGTAGACAACATTCTGTGGTAAAGTAAGCTGTTTTTATTATATGGGGCCGGGGTGGGGGGTGGGGGGTTGGTGTTCAACTTTGCAACTGGGTTGGGCTTGCATTTATCAGTTATGTTAACTGTAGGCAAAGTAAAAAAAAAAAAGCTAATGTTCATCAGCTCCTTACTCTCTACCAGGCATGATCTAGGTGCTTTGCATGTATTCACGCAGGGAGCCGCCCAAGGACCCTGTGAAGGGGTGACTATTCTAATGTGCTGCTGAATGCCAGACCCAAGAATGCTGGTGCGTGCATCACAATCCCCTGGAGGGCTTGTTAAAACAAAGTGCTGGACCCAACACCCCCCCAGAGTTTCTGATTCAGTGGGTCTGAGAATTTGCATTTCTAATGAGCCCCCAGGTGATGCTCTGTGGCTTGTCTGGGACCTGATTCAGAAACTTTGGGCCACTGTGATGGAGCACAGTGATCACGTCTGAAGGAAAGTGGTGTTGGGCTGAGGGCTGGGGTGATCCTCACACCCTACCTACAAGTACCTGGCCGCGTGGGAGGAGGTGGCTGAATCCAGCTCTCCATCTACTTGCTGCACCATGCCCTGGCTCAGGCCCACAGTCCTTCTGAGGGCAACCTTTTCTGATTTGCACCAAGGCACCATATAAGAGAGGAATACTGGATCTGAAGGGGTCCGATTATGTGGGATCTTGCCGGCCAGAGTCAAGGGTTTGCACTGGAGAATTTTAAGCAAAAGAGTGACATGTTCCTATTTAAGAACTCTCTGATGAACGGAAAAATCAAAATGTGATATACATATGTAATGAATTATTAATCAGTCTTAAAAAGGAAGGGAATTCCGACACCCGCCACATCACAGATGAACCCAGAGGACACTGTGCTACATAAGTCAGTCCCAAGAAGACAAACACTGCCTAATCCCACTTATATGGGGTACCAGGGGCTGGGGCAGGGGGCAGGAGGGAGAATGGAGAGTTGTTTAATGGACAGACTTTCGGCTTTGCAAGAGGAAGAGAGTTCTGGAGATAGATGGTGGTGATAGTTGCACCACAGTGAATGTTATTAACGCCACTCTACTGTGTACTTAAAAATGGTTAAAACGGTAAATTTTACATGTATTTTATCACACACAAAAAGGATCCCTCCGGCTGCTAGAGAAGGGACTGGGTGGGAGGAGGCCAGAGCGGCGGCAGGACACTAGGGAGGCTGATGCAGTCGTTCACGTGAGAGGTCAAGGGTACTCAGGCCGGGCGACAGCATCAGGAGAAGTGGACAAACTGTGACCACCCTGAAGGCAGCGCCTGCGGGACCTGCTGATGGACTGGATGTGGGGGCTGATGGGAGAAGTAGAAGGAGGGCGACGCTTCCATGTCTGGCCCGGGCACCGGGACGAATGACAGATCCATCTTCTCTGAGGCGAGTAGGCGGGAAGAAGCGTTTCCTTGCTGGGGGTTGGGAGCAAAAGCTCCTGCCCACCTTATAGGTTTGCGATGTCAAGTGGGCGACGGGATGTGAGTGCGCACAAGGTCAGCTGTGTTCCTGGCGCAGAAAGGAGGCCGCGGCGGCTGGAACTCCTGAAGCAGGAGGGAGGAGGGGGCCGAGAGGTGGGCCCGGCGGGAAGTCCCGATTCAGCCACTACCCGCAGCAAACCTGGGGGAAAGTTACCGTCCGTTTAACGAACGGGGAGGTGGGCGACGTCTCCGGTGCGCCCGGGCGCACGCGGCTTGTGTGAGCCGTGCTCAGACACAGAGCTTCGGCCCCTCTCTTAAGATTTCTTCCTGCTCTGAAAACCAACTCTTCCCGTTTCCGAGATGGGGAAACTGAGGCAGCTGCCCTGTCCGATGGGAGCACGCCAGTGACGTGTGGCCGGCAGCACCTTCTCCCGATTCACGCAGGAGGGGACACTGAGGCCAGACGCTGGGCGCCAGGCTCACGGCGGAGGAGCCGAACCAGGGCGCCCAGGCCGGCCCCAGATACGCGGGTCCCAATGCGCGCCCACCTTGGACCCTGTCAGCGCCGCCCGAACGGAGTAGGGGACGAAACGCGCAAGAAGACACACTCGCAGGCCTGACTGGCGCACGACTCTGGCGGGGCCCCTCCTTCTCGCCTGCCCACCCCGACGGCCCGGGGATTTCATTTCCCGAGCGCCCGCCGGCGTCCAACCTCCACCTGTCTCAGGACGACGCCGCCATGACTCCTCCTTCTCCCTGCCTCGGCCTCCCCGTCGGCACGTCTGCGCATGCCCGCGTCCGCGTGCGAGCCAATGGGAAGCCCTGTAGGCATTCTGGGAAGTGTAGTTCAAAGCCTGGCGCACCGAGAGGCCTTGTTTGTCTGGGCTAATAGGCCGCTGGCCGTGCTCGATGCACCTTGGAAAGTGTAGTTCAGAACTATTTGGAGATGGGCGTGAGAGATTCGTCACGGCGAGCGGCCAATGGGAAGCGTCCTTTTGCCGCGATGCTTCCTGGGAAATGTAGTTCTAGGTGAGGCCGGTGGGGCGCGGAGGGGGGCGGAACGGACGCCTCGGTATCTGAGTGTTAGGGGGAGGGGGACGGATGAGTTTGGCGCAAAGCCTGCCGGGGCATGGAGTCCCGGTGAGCTTTGTGCGCATGTGCGACGAGGTGAGGGGGCTTGGGGGGCCTCGTCTGGGAGAG